TATACGGGGTGTTTCATTTGAAAAATCAAAGAAGCCGCTACTTTATAGTAGAAGCGACAACGCCGCTTCGTCTGAAATATTTTAGGCGTGTAGGTCATATTGATTTATGCATACTGTGAAATTTTCAGGTTGATCCGTTAAATAGTTCAGAAACGGCTAATTAACGCTCATCATGAAAAGCCCTGTATAATGATTTTGTAAATTCACAACCTGGGACCTATTGGATAGATATGACCTAATGAACATGTTTTCTGTGTCAATCTGAATTCTTTGCCATTAGTACACAGCAACATGATGAAAAGTTAATATTTTTTCATTTTGTTACAGATCGATTTCTTCGAAAAATATATACCAAAGAATGCAAAAATACATCTCATAGGCCACTCTATTGGTGCTTACATGATTCTGGAATTACTGGAACATCCTTCAATCAAAGATAAAATAGCTGATGTTCATCTCCTCTTCCCTACATTTGAAGAAATGGCATTAAGCTCAAATGGGAAGTTTCTTACACGTTTTGTCAAACATATTGTCTGGTTGATAATCTGGCTATCTTGGATATTTGTACAGTTACCAACAATAATTCAAACTATTCTACTTTATGGATATATGACTATAGTCGGAATACCAGCAAACCAACATCACGATAATATTAAAGAACTAATTAATCCTAGTGTACTGAAAAGGGTATTTTTCTTAGCTTTCCAGGAAATGGAACAAGTGAAAGATAGAAACAATGACATCATAAGAAGAAATATCTCTAAGCTCAAATTTTATTACGGAGAGAACGATGGGTGGACTCCACCTCAGTTCAGAGAACAATTGAAAGTTGACATTCCAAATACCGACATTGAAATTTCTAATTACAATCATGCTTTTGTATTAAAACGCAGTGTTGAAGTTGGAGATATTGTATCTGTTAGTATACTAGCAGATGCAATATAGGTACTTCCTAGCTGAAATCTAGGAAATGATCATGAGTATTGTTATAATTTTACTAGGGGAAGGCTAAATGTATCACGAGTATATATACTAGGAGAAACTCTTTAGAAAATAAACAATTTTGATTATCTTATAAAGTGGTTTTTTGTGCATCAATCCGGCAAAATTAGTTCTAAAAAGGATGACATAATGCATACTTTTGTCTTGTTCTTTATCAACAAAAAAATTTTAACTCATAAGGTTGTAAATAGCATAACTGATGAGAGATGATGGGAATTATTATAAATTATTGACAAAGATTATATTTTTTCATCACAGTATGAGTTGTTTCTAATTATTTAAAATATTTTTACCGTCTTTATTTTTATGGTGAATACAGAGAATGTTGCTGTTTTGTGGATGATTGTTAACCATTGTCTTTTGAGACTAGGTAGACAAATATATATTTTGTACCTGAAAATCGTTAATAACATCTTGTTGACAACTATTTTGTTACATTTACTCTGTAAGAGGTCTGTTTAAAAAATACACTTGTATCAGCGTTTTTTTTTTCAACATTTAAACAGAACATTAACTCAGATTGAAAGGGGTAGGTATCATTTTATAGGAAAGCATTTTATTTTCTTTCAATATGTTTACTATCGATGTATGGCCAACATTGAATGTAGTGGATGCCCGTCTACTCGATGTATGTAGGTTTTCCTCAAACTCAAGCATCACATCTAATTTGAGTTCATCACTCATTGCATTGGCAGCTGCTTTTTTTATCTGCCCCACACGACCAAGCTCGCGAAACTGCTCTATTTTGCTTATTGTTCCTTGAGATATGAGCGGTAAATTAGGAAATTTCTCATGAAATAGGCGAACTACTTCCTATTGTGTTCGGGTTTTATCTCCGTAACCAATAATTTGTAAAACTATTATTTTATGCATTACCGTTAATCTAACCATTTGTCAGACTTGAAGTTAACGAACTAAACTTAAATTAAAATACTGACAACTGATGTTGTAACATAGAAAAAAAGTTGACAAGGCGTTTTAAACTAACGTTGCCACGGAAATTATTTAGTTTTTTGAGGGATACCATCTTATAAAAACATTGCTATGGTTTTTGCTTAATCTCTTATTATCAATACCTCAACATGAAATAAGGTTTGAGTATATTGCAATAAATATTACTGGAGTTTTTTCCCAACACCAAATCGTTATAACGATTGATTTTAATTTATTTTATCTTAATTGTTGCAATAAACTTGAAAGCGATAACATTTTTGAATAGAGAATGAAGATACCTTTCAAACGATATATCACCTATACTTCCCATTTAAAAAATTAGAGGTTGTACCTGTCATTCGACAGGGGTTGAAGGTAGAGGTAGCATGTTCTTGTTGAAATATGTCAAATTATAATTGAAATTTGACGTGTTTCGGGATTTTGTTAAAATATGTACCTACTGTAACCGAAATAATGAATTTATTCTATTTGGCTTCTACACACTATACGAATACAATCTTCAAAGTGCTGTATTTTTGAATATAAAATAATTATGTACAGTGAGGTCCTAAAGCAACAGATAAATTTATTTTCTAAGTAATTATGAATGCAAATCAAAGATCCTGAAACAGGTCAACTTTTATATAATAATAATACCTTTATTCGTCTTCAGAAACACACATACACTTTCCCAATGAAATTATTAAACTGCCTATTCGACCTCCTTAGGTGTAATAGATTTCTGTGTAAAGATTTGAAATGAAAAGAGGTATTGTGTGATACCCCGTTTAAAAGTATTTTCATTTCTCTATACAGCAATATAGCATGACAGATTCAGGAGATTTTTCCAGCTCCCGTTTTTTTTTTTTTTGAAAGACATCAAAGCTTAATTTTTGAATAAAACACTATTACTATTACATTTTGGAAACGATGTCCCATAGTTGATATTTGAATTAAGGATTGGAAGACATGGTTCTGTCATGTGGCCTGCAAGATTACCTGACTTAACCCCTTTAGGCCTCTTTTAGGTTCTCGCGGGTTATTTGGGAAGTTGCTATGAAACGATAAAACAGCTGTTAGCGTTTCGATGAACTGTTATTGTCAGTTAGATACTGAATACGTTAACAGAAATAAGACATATAAGCAGATAAAAATAGTCAGCAAGGATTTTAAGATTTTTTCTAATTCTCATTGGTTTTTTGGGTCTATAACCATCCACAATCTGAAAAATAAACACAATAAGATGAGTTGTTATTCTACAGCTCAACTTTTCACATGCTTGTGCAATTCTTTGTCTAATTTCTTGATCATTATCATGTTAATTGGTCAAAAACGAGGGCTACATAGTTTTAATAGGAATAAAATAGAAGTTGAGAGCAATAACGAAAATATCATAACTCATCATAACGCTTGTTGACATGGTTAATCAGAATTAACGTCAGTGGTTATATCATAGGTCAGCGTTTTTTTAAGGACAAAACACAAGCACTACAGGAAAATACAAGATACAATTTTTTTAACCTGTTTTACCCTATTGAAGTGAAATTTTCTTCAAATCAGGATTTTTATAATAATTTAAAAATATACATTTAATTTACATTATATGTATATATAATATACCCCGTTCAATTGAAAAGTTATATGTAATTGTGAATTATTTCTTAAACTGTTTGAGCATATGAACTACACCTAATTATACATTCATAATGTATATCACAAATATACAGTAAGTAGGTTACTTTAAAACAAAAAAAATCTAAATCACTTAGTGAAGTCTAGAATAAATTTTTTCCCAATCATTCCTTTGACAGTCATGGTATTCATTAGAGCTTCCCTGTAGTCATCAAAGCTGACCATTTTGTGAGATGGGCCTCGCAATTCATTATTAGTCATCAGTGTTATTAATTCTTCAAACATTTTTATTCTCTCAAGACTATTGGCATTTGTTTTAGTCCAGTGTGTCATCCAGAAGCCTCGAATCTGAATGTCTTTGAAAATTAAAGCAGAAGTAGGTACTGAAACAGGTTCCCTAGACATGCCCCCATATGTAACCAGAGGACTACTCCTGTCTAAGTGACGAACTAGTTCTAAGGCACTCTGCCCTCCAACACAATTCAACCCCAATTTGGGTTTTTCAATTTTGTTGGTTTTGAATATATCTGTAGTTCTGAGTTCTTCCTCTGTAAGCACATATGTAGCTCCTAATTTTGTCAAAAAGTCTCTAAGTTCTTGCAAGTTTGGCCTGTTTCTCACTATATTCACAGACCTTACACCCCAAGAGTGACAAATTTGAATAACATTTTGGCCACAAGCTGAATTAGCCCCATTTTGAATAACTGTATTGCCAGGTCTCAAGTTAGTAAAATCTTTCAACATTCTGTAAGCAGTACAAGGATTGACAGTTAGCGTAGCTGCTTCTACTAAACCAAGTTCTTTTGGTACTTTCAGGAAGCAATCTTGTGACAGAATTAAATGTGTTCGCCACGTTCCCAGATTATTAGTTGTGGGGACAACATGATCACCTACTTCCAACTCTGTTACATTCGACCCAACTTCTACTACTTCTGCAACTCCTTCGTTACCAGGAACTGCTGGTAATGATGGTTTTGAGGGATATTTTCCTTGGATAGTATTGATATCAGCTGGATTTACAGGCGCAGCTAACATTTTCACCAGCACTTGATCATTCTTTGGTTTCGAGATTTCTTCACTTTCTTTATTCACAACCTTAAGTGGATCTCCATATTCAGAATACATAAGTTTGAGTGAACTGAATCTACGGAATGTTTGGTTAACCGTAAATAACATATTTCTCCTATGGAATTCAATAATTGACTTCGCCACTGCTGATGACGACATGTTGGACAATGTTTCTGTAAAGAAGCATAATTTCAACTAAGAAATGGAAATCTTCAGTTCTGCCATGAATCAAACAGCCCCTTAAAATTATGAATAGAAAATATTCCACAATAGAGCGTCATCTTTTACACTAAAATAAAATTTTCCATTTCTCACCTACTAATTCCAATTATTTCTAAAAATGTTTAATAAACAAATGTATCTAATAACTTGAAACAATGTCTGTTTTTTAAACTTTAAAAAAGTATATATTTTTCTTCCAGAAGTCAAAAATCAAAATCCATGATGTTCTGTGATTGACATTCTGATTTCTGGAATTCTCTCAAGTTAAAAGGAGTTCTTAATTTCAACAGAAAGATTGCACATGCACTCATGCACGAAGCGAATCAAAGTACCCCTCCTCACTTTTCTTTTACACTCGATCAAATGCGCGAGAACTGTAGAGAATCTTAAATTACATTGAACACCTTTTTCACTTGAAAAAGAGGTATTTCATATTTAATGTTGGCTACACTTGCCGTTGAATTTTCGGTAAACTGTCATATATTTTTCATGTTTCTAACCTCATCATCATCGTGAGTTGTCATAATATTTTGTCTACATAACATTTTTTTTTATGAATACTTCTGCAGAAGACGAAAATATTTAGATATATTCAAACATTAACTAATGGAAGCTTTGTAAATTCTGCAAAAATTGATACTTTGAAAAAGGAACTACTATTCTAAAAAAAAATAATATTCAGTTTGTTCCTAGGAGTAGAAATATGCCTGCCTTCTTGCGATTTTGTACAAAATCAGATTTAAGTGGATACACCCTAATTATACCAAGTGTCTCTGTAGGAAATGTTCCACAGTTAACAGTAGATCTACTGATAACTACCTACAATTTCAAAAAGTGTGCAACAATTTGGCATTCTGCGATAGTACCCTCCGTTGGAAGTAACCCTTATGACTCTAAGTGTTCAGATTTGTGCACTGCATGTGAAATATATTCCAACGAAGACTTGAAACTTGCTGCTCTTCAAATACGCTCTACGATTGACTATCGAATAGCATCTAGGTTTTTTCTGGATTTAAAAGAAAAGCTACAAACTCTATTTATTAAGAATGTAACTATATTGTCAGGCATGTTCGATTATGAACAACATATTGTTACTAAAAACAAATTTTACTATATAAGTGCTGGTGAAGATGAACGTTTAGTGCAGTGCAACAACATAACTTTGTTAGAACGTGTCATCAATGGAAAGTATAATTCTAATGGTTCAGGGTTTGCCTTCAAATTGTACGAGACACTGTCCACTGATTTTAGGTGCACCGTACTTGGGAAGTATATTTCAGAAGGTGACAATAGACCAGATGCTTGTATGTTCTTGGAAAAATTAGTTTATATTTTGGACCTAAATAGTGCCATGGATCTTATAATTCCCAGTTCCTGGAATTTTGTTTTTGGTGCACCACCTCCTATTGAAATATATTAGAATAATTTTAAATTATGTGTTTATTATTCAGGTACATATCCCAATCGTTAAGTAATTAGATTGAAAATATATTAACATTCATTGATGGTGTTTAGTTTTAAACAAATCCTTAAGTTAAGTGATTAACACTAAGAAAGTTGTTAGTAGTATAATGAAGATGATGGTCACAAATCTACAAAATGAATAGTTTTAGTTCTTAAGGTTTTTATAATTGCCATTAATAAGATACATACCCTAGTGTGAAAATAATCAGTAATTGAACTCTGAAGTTATATTCTTTTATCATAATCAGATGGTGTCAAGATTATTATATTCTTTTTGACAGCTCTCTTACTAATTTGTAGGATTCGACAGTTCAATATGAGATTTGAACTATTTTTTGGGGTTAATAAGTGGAATGATTTTGTGTTCCTTACAGCTTATGAAACTTCCTAAATAAAAATTAATGTGAAAATTCTGTAATAATTATCATGGATAGTGTTATAAATTTCCAACGAGTGTATTCATAAATTTATATAAGAACCTAATAAAGTACAGTATAAAGAAGTTTGTTTACATTGTATAAATAATTCTACAATTTTATAGCCCGTCATTTCCAGGAATGAATTTATATATATGGAAGAACCAAACAAATATACTGCTTTATGTAATGGCAAAACTTAATGCAGGTCCTTTTTATGCACTAACAGTAAGCTCATTTTAAAAGGTATTAGCTCATACAAGTTCTGATTTTTGAGGGTTGTTGTTGGAGAAATGACAGTTAGTTAACGAACAAACCCTCATTAGTACCTAAGTTATTTTTATAGACGTACATACATAAAAATATCCTTCAAAATTGGAATTCAAGACAAACGTCAGTAATGTTAAACATTTTCTGGATTTCAATTAATTATATCTAGATTTCAATTTATTTCTATGACCATAAAATCAGTGATATCAGATATAAAAGAGGATCACTTTTTCCTACCCTATAAAAATCAACTCGAAGGGGTGTGATGGAATTGGCTGATACTTTTTGAAAATCTATATCGTATTCAACTAACACTTTGTTGTAAGGTTTACACTAGACATTTTACAAAACCGCAACACGTGTTTTGGTAAACAATAACTTTTTCATGCTCATTTTTTTTTAAAGGACAGACTTGTATGTTGCTCACTGGACAAATGATAATTCAAGCAAATTTATTGAAAACTGTAAACAGAAAACTTCAGCGTCGGATAGATCAGGAGTATATATTTGACTCCTTGCCCAAAACTTCATATTGGCCAAACGGGGAGAACCTTTTTCAAAAGATTAAAACAACATAGGAGTCGTTTCTTGAAAATGAGAAAACCAATTCTACATTTGCAAACCATCCTTTGGCAGAGGGGCATAAGTTCAACCACTACTATGAGGTATTATATTGGAAGAGACAGGTTTGAAACACAATCTTTCGGAATGCTAAGAAATTATTAGATTCATTCTGTGTTAGGAATCACACGTTAAAAGGTAAGCCCCGTTAGTCCTTAGCCCGCACAAGTTTCTCAACTTCTAAGAGTTGTCGTTCGTATGGGGGCGACAACTGATTAACGGAAAAACAGATTTTAAACTTCTTCTGAACCTGTTTTCTTATAATGTGGAAATTGGTAATTCGTTTTTTGTATGTTTGTTAAAAACTTTCTCTTACAGTGTTTAAAATTTTTAAATTAGTTTTTGCCTAAACTCATGTAAAATTATTAGTCATCAAATATGTAGAAATGAATGAAAAAGTGATCATGAATTTCCAAAAAATTAACAAGTCATCAATTACACAAAAAGTATGTATAAGGTCATATGATTCAAATTGTTATTATTTGAAGCACAAATTATGAATATTTTTTTATAGTTCATTACATATCCATATAAGGAGTTGGTATAATTTTTTTTTATGATGTTTAATTAGTTTTTACCCAAATTCAAGTGAAATGAAGTTATTAGTCATTAGGTATGGGTAGTTCATGTGATCCAAATTGTTATTAATTAAAGCACAATTTAGTCAGTATAAAAAAAGTCGAGAAAACTATTGAAAGTATAGTGAAACATGTGTTGCGGTTATGAGCCTACTTTAAACTGTAATATCGCGATTATTACTAATTCACCTATATATTAATTGAATAAGTGACATTTTATTTCGATTAAATAGCCAACGTGACACAAGTCGATTAATTCCATCAGCGTAAAAATTGTTTGTTCCTAATGTGATGAAGTCGACGAAGGCCATTTTTGAGGTTCTACTGATGAGAAAGTTGTTGGAATTGTTCATGATATTATTTTGATGTTAATATTTTGAGGCGCTTGATGGAGCTTTGAAGCTGAAAGATTCGACTAAAGAGGATTTACTGTTTCTGCTGAGACAATTGGAGGGTAAGAGTAGCAGATTATTCGAGGCAGATGAAGGAGTTGAAGAAAAATTGTTATTAGAAGTCAGCGATGATATTGAATTAGAAGAGGAGTACGATGAGGTAGAATATTACAGAGACGAGCTGATAAAATATATATCCAAATGAGACCCAGGAAGATCGTTTGAGCTGTTCCAATTTCTCCACAACGGAGAAAATTCAAAGGAAAGTTCATTTACCAAGACTAGAACTAAAGAAATTCGATGGGAACGCGAAGAATTGGATTGGGTTCTGGGGACAATTCAAGAAAATTCACAACGACCCAGAAATAGATAATGAAGACAAATTTCAGTATCTTTTACAAGTGACAGAAAGTGGTTCAGCTGCCCGAGAGTTAGTAGAAAGTTACCCCCCCTTCTGGGCCGAATTACATTAATTGATCAGTTGAAGACTCGTTTTGGCAGGGACGAATTCCTAATCGAAGTTTACGTAAGGGGACTATTACAACTTGTACAGTAACAAGCTTCAAAAGCTAAAACAGGCATGTCTCTTTCCAATCTGTATGATAAACTTGAAACCCAGTTAAGAGCTTTGGAATCCCTAGGAGTTACCATCTTGATTTTCTGGTATCTCGTTAGTATCCCTTCTCTAGAAGGGATACTTTTCTAATTGGTTCGCCGTGTCTGTCTCAATTTCTAATCGAAACAATCGCTGCAGAGGACGAATTAGTTCCCCTCGTTCTGTTTTAACTCGTGCTTATCTTTCAATTCCATCTCTTCCTGGAAACAATAGCCAGTTTACTCGTTTTTTGTTATCACTTCCAATGAGTACAATATCTCCAATTTTGAGTGAAGTTACCCTTTTTTGACCAGTATGGAATAATTCTGCCAGATATTCCTTTCTAAATCGACTACGAAGGCCCAGGAGAGTAGTTGTTTTCTGATAGGCGACAGTCCATTACACCTACCGTGTAGGTATATCCGAGACTGGCTTGAACGTTTGAAGTTCATTTCTTTACTGCCAGTCTTCAAGCATAGCCCACTGACTAATAAGAAAGTTTTTCTTCCTTATTCAGAGGAATCATGCAAATTTTGGATATGCAGTTGGTTAGTACCTCGTCCACTAGATGGAGCGACATTTTGTTGTTTGCTCCAACTTAGGAAGAGGAATCAAAAACCCTGAAAGAATTCCGATTTTATGGAATATCATTGACTTTAGGTCGATGATGGCCACTATCTTGCACTGACGAGTGGCTAATCAGCCCGAAACTGGTCTGCAAGTGTTGCCTTTCCAAAATTGAAGGTTGACTGTATCAGTTGTATTGCCAATTGCATATGCAGGAAATTTTCTGTGATATAATCCAACGCCCTTCGTGGTATTACCCAGGGAAGTAGTTGTTTTCTGATAGGCATCAGTCTATTCAACCTACTGTGTAGGTATATCCGAGACTGGATTGAACGTTTAAAGTTCAGTTATTTAGATTTGTATACTGCCAGTCTGCAAGTCTAATAAGAAAATATTGGTGATTGTCTAGCAGTACTCCTGTGATTTGAGCTGTGCATTTGACTGTGTCAATCATGAAAAACTTGCTTTAAAACTGGAACATTATGGTATAAGAGGTGTTTCACTCAGTTGGATAGATTAATTTCCCAGAACCGGGGTCAATTTGTGTCATTGTAAAGATTGAAAAATAATACTTTCAAGTTAAACTCCGAATGTAGGAACATAAAAATGGGTGTAGCACTGGGCTCCATAATAGGTCCTATTTTGTTTATTCTCTATGTAAACAACATTGACTCTATGATTAAAAACAGTAGTTACACAGCCTATGCTGTGATATTCCAATTATCTCTGCATCTGATACTAAAATTTTAGAAATTTAATGCAAAAGTATCCAGTATTTTCAATGAGCACGATTCATTTTTCAATACAGACATCGCTGACACCACTGTTTCGACCCACCAAGGTCTCATCAGTGGTGGTAGGCTGAACCATTCAACTACAATAAACAAGATCATCCTGAGAGTAAAACCATTTGAGTAGAGATAATTAACAATTATTATTTTCCTAAATAAGATATATTACAGCTTTATATACAATGATTATCTGGCATAAATCAAGTGTTCACCACGTTGATTTATAATTTCTGAAGCGGAAGAGAATTAATCCCAATACTTAATGAGTCCATCCCAACCTGCCGTTATCAGTTTGCTAGATTCATGAGGATGCCACAAAGCACTTATGCATACATTGTCATGTGCTTTCCATTTTTTATAAAGTTTGGTTGTCTTCCAGTCCCAAATATAACATTTTCCATCAGCATCTCCAGAAACCAAGTAACTCATATCAGGTGAAAAATCTAAACTGCAAGCATAACCTGCTACCATATGACCAGTAAAAGTTTTCTTGCGGTTTATTTTGAAGCGATTCATAGCCGAAAAGATGACTATTTTATTGTCCATGCTCTGACAAGCAAGCCACTTTCCTAAAATTAAGAAACAAGTTAATACCTACATGAATAAAAAATGTGGATTGTCGATGAAGGTATTAAAAATTTGACATTTCAACTTACCATTCGGTGCTGGAGTGACTGCAGGCATGCTGTGCATAGTTGGGTCAGCGATATACTTCATATCCACTGGAATATCCCATTCCCACACCCTCAGTGACTTATCATCAGACGTGGTCACAAATCTCCTGTTTTCGTCCACAAATGTAATTGAATTGACTGCTCCTAAATGCCTATCATATTCTTGAACAATATCACCTGATCTAGTATCCCAGCATATTATTTTTTTATCTGAAGTTCCCGCAACAAATAAGTGCTGCTTATTCTTATCAGGATTGAACTTGACACAGTAAGGAATTTTCCTGCTGGTGAATCTTGAGAGAACCTGCCCTGTTTCCGTATCCCATAATTTGATATATCTGGAAAAAAATTAGAATTAAATATATTTTATAGTCGTAAAAGAAATTTGATATGNCTCTCAATAAAAAAATTATTAAAGCTTTCAGCTTTGTCTTGGTCTAACATCACTCTCTGCCTGTCAAATACAATTACATCAGGAAGGGGACTATTATTGGGTTTAATAAGTGTTTTCAAAGATTTCCACATATTCATTGAATCATGCGAACAATCATCAATCTTCCGTTTGTAGTAGTCAGGGAACTCTTCAATCCTCTCAACAAAAACACTACAGACTTGAGATCGGAAGTTCGATATTACCAACTTAAAACTATTGCTGTCCTCTAGATAAACTGCATTAAAAAATATCCATTACAATATCATGGAAAGAAAAGATATTATTTTCAAAAATCATTCAATACCCAGATTCGGTTAAAGAAAAATTGGCACTGGTCTGTCTCTTACCATCACATATAGACCTGCAATAGTCTAAAAAGTCGAATATGTTTTTTTGTGATGTAAGGGCTAAGTATTGCAAAAAGTGCGGCTCATGAAGGTCTACGGCTGTACCAAAAATCAAATCTCTGCTCTCAATAATGACTAAAATACAATGGTGTATTCATCTTAAGTGTGTCGCACTGTATATAGAGAGGCAATAGGAATTCTGAAACAGAGATGATTTCAACATAAATTCTGGCTACCTGTCCTTAATTGTACACAAACAAGGTCAGCTAATCCAATTAATAGAAACCAAGAAACGCTTAGGAACAACAACCTGAGAGCTTCAGCCATTACCTCATCACATTTGATTATGTCTGGCGCAGTATTAGACAAAACAGCAAGCATAAAAACCTACATATCACGGCAAAAAAAAACCCAGAAAATAGCTTTCACACATCTAGCTGATAGTTATCGAATATTGTTACAGTACATTTGTGAGAATTTGTTAATTAATTTGTAAATATGGGCAATGTTGTGAGTAAATAAATACATTGGATTACTCAACTTTGCAATACAATAAAAAAAGAGAAAGGTACATAAATGCACCCAAAGTAACACCAAGAGAGAACTACTTACAATCAACCCTGGAGGAACACGGTAAAAGAAACGACAATAAAATCTATATATGAAACAATAATAAATAATACCAACCTGTCATAACCAGCAGAGAGGAAGTGTTTTCCGGAGTTATTGAAATTGATATCCCTTACGGCTTGTCGATGACCATAATATGTCCTTACACATCTTCTTTCATTATACACTTCCCAAAGTTTAATACGACAATCCATACTAGCTGATAAAAATAAATGTGCTGTTCTTGGAAACCATCGTATGGCTGCAATTCCTTTGGAATGACCTGACCAGGTGTGAATATGAGATTTTGGCAAAAAGCATTTTTCTGGTGGTGTGTCCGATTTAAGATTAACACCTACATCTTGTGGAGCATGCAAGAATGACCGACCTTGATAATCAACAGCGTCCTTGATGTGAAGAACAGATTTCTCTTCAACAGGTTTATCTTCTGTAGGTTTACCTGCAAAAATAATTGTTATAAAGAAATGAAAATCACTAGTGTTTATGATTTATGTGATTCAGAATTTTCTAGATGAGTCAGTAATAGTATATGAAAAGAAAAACTGGAATTCATTCAGTTCATTACTTTTGGAAAAACAAAAGAGAAAAAGATTTTAGCCTATGAAATGTTAAGATAAGTATTGTATAATTTCTTAGTTTTTTTTGTTAGACAAAATTAATAAATACCTACAACAAGATACTGATAAATAAAATATTATTCTGTGCAAAAATACTCTGAATTTATGCAGTACTAACTGAATTAATTCAAACTCAATTTGAATCTGCAATAAGCAAGTAAAGCAGTCTTATCAACGTATATTTTCATACACAAATTTGTCAATTGCACAATGAATTACCAGAAAACATAATTACAAAAAGTTAAAATTCTAATTCTTCTCTGGAGAAGAAGTTCATTCAATATTTGTTTCTAATGAACTATACAAATATATTGTGGATTGAATAAATGAAACATACCTCTTTTGTTCTTTTTAGATATTAGTTCATCTAATTCTGCTTGTTCTTCTTCACTAGGCTTAGCAATTTTTTGTTCATCGACAAAACCACCCCACGGCCCCAAAAAACCATCAATGTCGCTAGGGTCAGCATTTCTTTTACGTTTCCTTTTGTCCAAAGGTCTGTCCTTTGATGATTCAAAAACAGTTTTGATATCATCAGGACTTTTGCCGTCATCTGTGGAACCTACCACTTTAACCTGACCATCAGTACTAACAGATGGATCGAGGGCATAACCATAGCTTGTGAAAGTTCGTCTTTGGTTTTCAAACTGAAAATCACTGACATGAGCTGGTTCTACATGGCCTGATAAAATGTTTCTATCGATACTTTGTTGTTGTGTTTTGAAAGGATTTTTTGGTCCAACCAATGGAGCAAACAACTCTTCATACTTGGGATTGAAGGTTAGTTCTGTTGTTTCAGGATGGATATAAATGTTTTCTTCATTTAAACCCGTTGGAATTACGTCGGGAGCCGAACATATCGCAAGCTGTTTTTGTAATAACTGTGAATTTTTAGGAATAGTTGGAAACACTTCCACATTTGAAGAATGAGTATCCTCTCCACAATCTTCATCACTACTTCCTGAATACTGTTGTAAAGCCAACATAGTCCCGAATTTTCAAAATACAGTTTGTTTGAAGAAATCACTTGTCTAATTCATATTCTGAAGAATACTTTTTCAGGCACAAAATAACCAAACTACCAAACACTTTATTCAACTGACATATGACACATTTCACAAAAAAATAGAGTACTTATTGTCTTTTGTTACTCTGAGACTTATACCAACCAACAGACTACCTGCTGCTCTGACCTGCTGACTACCTATAAGACTAAAAGGTTTGTTCGTTTGTTTTGGTTCTACTGTTCAGGTTCTAGGACTTTAGTATCATGCGCAGTTGATATAGAGCGTACTGGTTTATTGAGGATAATTTCGGACTGATCATTCCTCTGTTCTGGTTTCGACTGCGAAATGATCCTAAACCACTGAATACCCTAACTACATTTGATTTAAATAATTGATAATTGAGGTTAGATAACATTTGAACTGACCATGAGGATACACTACATAAGAAAATGGACAGGATCAATAGTAATTTCTCGTCTTTATCTCTTCATATATACGATAGGTGGCACAGTGGTCTCCAAACTATCTCAGAATTCTGACTTGTATCTCAGAATTCTGACTTGCAAGTCAGAATTCTGACTTGCAACTCAGAATTCTGAGATGAAAGTCAGAATTATACGAATCGAAAAAACATTTTTGTGTGGCCCTTCAACGCTTTCGTATGATTTCATAAAAGGTAAAGAAACAATTTTGATTTGTTATTATTGTTTTCAACTAACAGAGACTAACTGTTCTTAGATACAATGGCTAATAGACCGTTATCGGATGAAGTGTTGATGAAAATAGTAGATAATGATCACAAAGGTGATGTTTCGAACGATGAAGGAGATCGGTTGCGTGGTATTGAAGAAATACTTGATCATGGAAATGTAAGTGATGTTGAAGAAATGGATGTTGAGGAAATACGCGACCACGATACAGACAGTGAAATTGAGTGGCAATTTGATGATCAAGACTATGATTCCGATGATAGTGAGTTAGGAGACGTAGAAAAGAAAAATATTGTACGAGAGGTAAGACTCCACCAAAAATATTATTTTTGTTTCACCCGGCCTCAAAGGACCGGCCAAGAGGAAACCACAGCTGGTAGAGATATTTTTTGTTGTACTATGTCTCTAGCTCGATTCTCATTTTTTTTATCAGTCTGTTTACGTTTCGATGAAGAACAAACGAGGGAGAAAAGAAGGAAAACTGATAAATTAGCACCGATTGTTGAACTTTTGATAAATTCCTAGAACATTTTAGAAAAAATTTCATGCCTGGACTGAATCTCATCATGGATGAAATGTTGGTACCCTTTCGAGGTCGCTGGTTCACCTTCCAAAGAAACCCGCAAAATATGGGATAAAAATACAAATTATGGCTGACTCCAGGACACACCACTTATATTGTTAACGCTGAAGTCTATACAGGTGCCCTGGAGAAAAAAATAAAAGAGAAACACGAAAAATGAATCAACCCATGCTACATAAGTTATTTTACTGTTAGTAGAACCAATCATTAAAACTAAAAGAAACATAACAGTTGATAATTGGTATACTTCTATCGAATTAGTGAAAGAATTACTGAAACGAGATTTGACATGTGTGGGAACTATGAAAAAAAAAATTAAAGATGTATCCCTCCGGAATTCCTACCAGCGAGGAAAATGCCCGCACAATTATCTATTTTTGGTTATCAGTCACAGTTAACTTTGGTTTCACTTCACATGTACCTAAACCAAATAAATCCGTCGTTTTGTTATCCAGCGTGCACAATGATATGTATGATATGCAAATGAAACCCGAAATTATCCTTTCTTATAATAGTACCAAATAGACCAAAAGTGTGCCAATTATTCACCATCCCGGCGTACTAGAAGATGGCCAATGACCATTTTTCATATGATATTGAACGTATCCGCTATCAACAGTAGAGTTATTTATCAATTTTCTCCATATGGAAAACAAATCAGACGTACTGAATTTATCAAACGGCTTGGAATTTCTTTGTGTGAGGCTCAAATTAGACATCGAATTTCCAACCCAAAAGTTAATCGCAAATTACTAGATACAGCCTTCGATATCTTCAATATTGATCCAGAACGCCCTGTTTCGTTACCCGCTGAAGTTTTCAGGTCAAAAAGAAGAATATGTTCTGTATGTCCATCGAAGAACAACCGTAAAACCAACCATAGTTACGACATATGGAAAAAACCTATATGTTTGCAATGTGCAAAAACAATATGTCCAAATTGTTTGTGAATTTTTTTTATACTTGATATGGGTTAACATTATATCATAGAATATTTGTTTTCATTTTGAAATACATTTTTGCAGAAAAGTTCACTTTTTCTGCTTATTTTTGTAACGGGTTCCAGGCATCCAGTTGTAGTGGTTAAGTAACATATTTATGTGGGTAGTAGTTACGTGTTAACAACAACCATGGATGGAATTACCTAGTAGGTACACTGAGAAAACATAATAAATTATCATTTTATTTTTGGTTTGATAAGTAAAATGAATGGGCACAGATAATATGAAAAAAAAATTAGTGTGGGTGGTGTATGATTTGCTTACCAAAAACAGGAAAATATCTTTCAAAAACAATGACTTTTCTCATTTACCAAAACTGCAATACTCTTCTCTACGCGAGTTTCACCAACCAAGTTGACGTCTTCAGGAGATGAAGGTATACTTTAACTTTTTGGTACAGTTCATTGCGTGTTAAGTGACACTAGGCTTTTCTGAACTTTAGAATGGGATACTTCTTGCGTGTTCTGTGAAACGAGTTTTATTGGCTTGCTAAGTCTGACCGATATATTTTTTGCCACAGTCCTCTCAGCTTATTTCATATATCCCGACTTTTCATTTTACAAAATATTGTCGTTAGAGAAACCTAATGTTCAAATCTTTGAAAATTCGATCTGATCCGTCAGTGTATCACTTTTTAAACTTCTTTTGACCTTTCCAATAGGTTTTAAACCATCAAAAATCGCATGGGAGCCGACATCCAGTTCTTCCGCCTTTCCCACGCACCCTTTGTAATGGGTCAGTCTCCACCTCAGTCCTAAATCCTCGTCCTGGATAACTGTATAGTCCAGTCATTATAGTAAGTTCACCTCGGAACTCGAGATACCCAGCTGTAAGTCTGTAAATACTTGTATATTAACATCCTAAAAGTTGTCTCAAAACCTACATATGGTAGGGTGTACGCAACTATTAAATTTCAAGGTCAAAGGTAACAAAAATCGGTTTTTTGCGTATTTTTTGTAAATATCTGATTTCCTATGGGTTTTTTGCTATTTGTATTTATTATCAATATTGTGGAATACAAAATTCACTACATATTTTGTTAAACAAAATTTTTCATACGTTGAACCGTTTTCGAGATAGAGGGCAGAGAGCGCGCGGTCACAGTTACATGTGATAAGCAGCTGTCAGAGTACTTTCAAGATGTTTATTGAAAGAGAAGGATGAATCAAAAGAAACACTCCAGAACTTGATTGTTTATGACGTAGTTGTGTAATGTCAGATTCGTTTTCAGTTTGTGAGAGAGTTTCAAGTCATCTACGTATAGAAGGGAATTAACATCAGTCTCATCTCCGATATCATTGAAGAATATATTGAAGAGTAGGGGTCCTAGGTTTGATCCTTGTGGTACACCAGATGTGGCAGACTTGAGGCCATTGAGTTGAACATAATGCTTACGGTTGTAAAAATACGATTTGAAGAGAGTAATCAAGTCATTAGATAACCCAAAAGTCGAGCAAGATACTATGGTCAAATATGTCGAACGCTTTAGAAAAATCAGTGTAGATGACATCAGTCTGAGACTGACAGTCAACACTCTCCGCAATACATTGAGTAAATGTTACAAGATTAGTGATGGCTGAACGTCCATTCATAAAACTGTGTTGATTGGGGCTAATATTGTTGCTGACATGACAGTAGATTGGCTTCTCAAAAAGCATCTCAAACACTTTACAAAAGTTGCATTTGATAGCAATTAGTCTGAAATTTTTCATCTCATTTTTATCTCCTGGACAGACTCTCGATATTTTCCATATTGATAGCACAGTTGATGTTTTCAGGAGAGTAGTAGGAGAGTAGTTAGTGGTAACCAAAGCTGAGGCACAATCTTTAATGATGAATTCTGGAATATGATTATGTTCCGCAGTAAATTTAGGCTCTAATTTGCTAATACTGAAGGGTTTGATTACTAGGCTGGGAATATCACTACTGTTGTTCCCATGATCATTCTATGTTGACACTATATAAGTAAGACCCAATAAATAAATCTGCAAAACCGTCAAGAATATCTGAAGGATTATCGAATAGCCTACCTTCATGTAACATTTCATCTCAAATTCCATTTGTAGATTTTTTGGTTGTTAATGAATGACCAAAACTTATTGGGGTTATTAATAATCTCGCTCTCAGTTTTCTGAATGAATTTTTTATGGTTCCTTTGATTTCCACACCATGGTGTGGAACGATCGTTAACAGCCTCCGAGGATGACATTGACGAAACTGGATTAACAAAGTAAAGCCGGAATGGCAAGAGATTTCTAAACACGGCTAGCAGGAAAAGTGTTACTGCCTCAAATGGGACTCCATGATGACCCTTTCAAAGACGTGTATCCCGAATATACTCGAACAGCTCCACGATGGTCGCACTGGAAGGTAAATGGTCTGAAGTAGTAGCCCTACCCAACCATGAGGCTAAAACGGTGGCAGAAGCCTTGTTGCAGAACGTAATTGCCAGACACGGAGTACCTCAGGAACTACACTCAGATCAGGGCCGCAAATTCGAATCGGATTTATGAAAGGAAATGATGACTTAGTTGGAAATGAAGAAAGAAAAAAAAAGGGTTCGGAACCTTCAACATAAACAGGGACATACTAACGACCACGCTTCAAATGATAGAGGGCAACCTAAAACATCTAGAAGATATCAATAAAGCACTGCAGGATGCTCATAAAGCTTCTCTGAGCCAAGACCAGAGTGCTAGGAGAAAGACACAGCCTACTTGGTGGAACGACGATATTGAAACCGCTAGAGCCGAATGCAACCGCATAAGGAGAAGACTGATACGGGCGAGAGGAAGAAACGGGGATCCACAGGACCTTAGAAATATGGAGGAGACATATAAAAATGCCAGACGGGAATTGAGGAGGGATATAAACAGTGCTCAAAGGGAAAGCTGGAAGGCGCTATGCGATGCTTTGGAGGATGACCCGTGGGGGCAGGGATACCAAATAGCGACCAAACAATTGGGTATAATGAGGCATCCCTACGAAATCGACCCACAACAGGAAGCGGACAAGCTGAAAGAGCTATTTCCAAGCTGTAATGAAGAGCATCGATGGCGACGCAAAGATTCGGAAAACCTGGTGCACTTCATGACGGAGGAGCTTCAGATCGCTGCAGGAAAGATGAAAAACAAAAAGTCCTCCGGACCCGACCACATACTACCGGAAATAGTAAAGGTGGCGGCAAGGATAATGCCAACGAATATCCTAAGCCTCATGAACACTGTACTTACAACGGAATCCTTCCCGCGGACTTGGAAAACGGCTAGGGCTGTTCTTATACCGAAGGGGAACACGGATGGACCCGAAGTTAAGTACAGGCCAATCTGTCTCCTGGACTCCCTAGGGAAGCTTCTTGAGCAAATGATTAAGGCTAGACTGGAGGTGGAACTGGAAGGAAGAGGAGCCATCTTGGATAGCCAGTACGGATTCCGCACAGAACGTAATTGCCAGACACGGAGTACCTCAGGAACTACACTCAGATCAGGGCCGCAAATTCAAATCGGATTTATGGAAGGAAATGATGACTTAGTTGGGAATAAAGAAGACAAGAACAACTGCTCTTCACCCACAGTCCGATAGAATGGTTTGGAGGCATAATCGCATCTCCGAAAACCAAAGTGACTCGGATAAATTGGTTCTTCTTTTTCTATTTGCATGCAGGAGCTCTCAACATGACGCTTCAGGTTACACACCATCCACGTAGTAAACTGGTAGGGAACTGAAACTTCCGATAGATGTATTGTGTGGCAGTCCATCCGATGAGTCTCAAGAGGTACCTCTTTCAGAATATGTGAATGACCTAAAGTAGAGACTAGAAATTGTACACGAATTTGTCAGAAGCAAATTACAGCTTTCCAGCGACAGGATGAAGATGAGATTTAACAAAAAGTCGCTGCTGGTGAGCTTTAAGGAGGGCGATGCAGTGTAACTCTACCAACCCCAACGTCGGAAAAGTTTGTGTCGCAAGTTGCAGAGACCATGGCAAGGACTGAAATATCAACGATCTGGTGTACATAATCCAATTGTCACCCAGTAGCAAGTCCAAAGTTGTCCACATAGAGAGACTGAGTTCTTATATGGGTCATGATGTTCCCTCTTTGAATGTTTTTCGGGGCGAACAACCTCAGGGAAGGGGGTAGGTTGTAAATCATGCCCTAAAAAAAGATAACACGGCCGTCGTAAAACAACTGTAACGTGGCCAAGATCGCAGCCGAGTCGGCGTTTCGTGGTTGTTCGTCGTTTCGATGGAATTCCAGCGAATATTCTACCGGCTTCGATGGATTTCTGAAGAATTCTCCACCGGTTACTGGATAGTTCGTTTGCCGCATATAAACGCTACCTAAGAGCATATCGAGATAGTCAAGTTTCGCGGATAATGCGGTGGAGAGAGATCTAATAAGGCGATAGACGTTTGAATGATTGTTGAAGTTTTAGTTAAAGGGGTTGGTTGTAATAATAGTGAATTAAAGTTCAGTTTGATTATTGTCCAGTGTAGTTAATTATTGGTAAACACACGGGAATAACGTATTCCCAACTAAGTCATCATTTCCTTCCATAAATCCGATTCGAATTTGCGGCCCTGATCTGAGTGTGAGTCAAGCGATTCTACAGCTTCACAGAATGTTTTGAATTTTATTTATTGTTGGGTGTTACATTTCAATAGAGAAAGATAGTACCAAATTCCGGTTTAATCTAAGTTTAAAAATTCGCCATTACTTTCATTCGATAAAGCATATTGAAATACCTATATTTGCCTATTTTCAGGATATAAATCCTATTATTTCCCAAAATGCGGCTAACCGACGGTCATCGCCCTGTACCCTGCATAATAATAATCTTATCGTTATGAAGTTTATTGGACCAACGAACTTATCTCATATCCTTTCTATCTAGTTTTAACCACCACACATTGCATTTCCTGTTCCCATGCACTGTTCGTTATTTTACTTAGAGTTGCGTTTCTAAAATGATGCCTAACGTATTCATCCAGTGTCAACCGATAAGCAATGTGGAAGATTTGGATGGGGTGATTCAAGAACCTCCTGGATGGGTTGACAGAGTTGAAATTTTGCAACCGAGGTCTTCAACCGTCCTTCTGAACAGTGTACCTTACTGCCACAGTCATGTGAATAATTTTTTTGTGAGAAACAGGGTTGATAGAAGGACCGTCCCCAAGACACTGGTGTGCCACGATTATAAGGGAGGCTATCAGTCAGACAGGTGAGAATACCAGATTTTATACCTAAATAGAAAGTAAGGTGCAAGTGCATTTATCTTAAAACTTGAAATAGTAACGTTGAGTAGTACTTGAATGGTTAGGTTAGGTTAGGTGCAAAGTGAGTTGGTCTATTCGACTCTCCATTGCAACCCACCAGGGTTCATTGTGGCTCAAACCTATACCAAATGAACCACCTCGACCAAATAAACCCAGCTTCTTAACGAATCCGATTAGTTTGTATGGTGAGTGGTCTTTCAGGTCAGACGGTAAGAGTACGGCTCTGCCGAACTCTAAAAACCTGATTCGGTTCCCAGAGGCGCAGGCATAAAGTATTTGCTCTGTTGTTTCATTATTTTCCAAACAGAAGCGACACACACTGTCTTCCGACAGTCCGAATCTCTGCATAGAATGATTCAAAGGACAGTGACATGTAAAAAGGCCTGTTAGACATCGTAGTTCATCCCTACTGTAGTCCAACAACTGTTTGGATTCAAGCTTCGAAGGGTGAATAAACGTCTTGGAGTGAGCCAATCCTGGAAAATTCTGCCAGAAGTCAATAAAGCAATGCCAATGACAAGTTCTGGTCCGATGAAGCTGCTTGCAACACCGTCCTTTGAATGGATAGAATGAAAATAATACGACACACTGTGTCATCTTCTGAGCGAGTCAAAAACTAACCTATGTACAGCTTGTCAAATGTAGGAAGGGCACTGTCAATTTCGATATGGTCAAGGAAACACGTAGGTTATGAGAATTCTCAAGTCTCTTCTTAGATTTGACAACCTGTATATGATGCCATCTCCTTATATATTAAAAGTTGCATCGGTAGGTAGAGAGATATCAAGAGGCTTTTGGGAAATTACTAATAACATTATTTATAATTGGTGAATTAGAAATATCTATCTTATCATTCAGACTAATGCTGTTTTCATTAGCAAAATGTTTTTCGATTAATATAGATTCCAGTATATTTAATATCAGACTTTTTGATTGAATTGTAGAATTTCCGGCTTTTGTGTGAAATTATGAGTGTTTTCTATGAGATACTTGGCGTAGTTTATTCTTGTTTATTCAATCTGAAACTGTTCAAATGCTCATCGAATCTCACGTTGAAACTGCGGCCAGTCTGTCCTATATATGAGGTATTGCAGTCGCCGCACTTGAGCTTATACACCCCAAATTTTTTCAATCTCTCCCGTGCTGACTTTCATTTAATGTTGAATACACAAAATTGTTTTTGTTTTATTTATTAGTTAAACTTCAAGTAATTTTTGTATTCCTTGGTTCGACTCTGTACAAGCAGGGAGCACGTGTACAGAGTACAGGAAGTACGGGAGCAGGGAGCACGTACACTATGCATGATAATGTTTTGGAGCATTCCGTTGCTTGGATGGGCAGAGTTCAGTTTAGTTTTCAAAAACAGAAACAATACTTGATTTGTTCAAAATCCGTTCATATTCTGTTTTTCCGTTAACCAGCTGTCACACCCCTACGAACGACAACCCTCAGAAGTCTAAACTTGTGCTAGCTAAGGATTAAAGAGGTCTTACCTTTTAACGTGTGATCCCTAACACGAAAACAAATTCGAAACTCGAATTCCCCTAAACAAAAACTAGTTTCCACTACTCGAACAGCAACTAAATTGCTTGCTTGAAGGTGGTTGACATTGTTTCGTGGATTTGAAATCCCTGAAAAAAAAAGGTTAACCGAAACAGTTTTATTAAACAAAAAACTGAAATTACAAAGAAATAACATACAAGCAACAACCAAACAAATAAATTATTGAAATATTAATAAAAGCTGAATATTAAGTAAATTTAAAAAAGATTATTAACAAAAAATGAAAAATAAAAATTATAACATTTTTCAAACCAAGTTATGTCACGACGTTTCGATTGTTAATATCCACAATCGTCTTCGGATGATAACTGGACTTATTCCTCCGAGATCTGACTATAGGTCATTCGAGTGCTTTCACCTATCCCCTCTTCCCTCTCTTCGCTTCATAGGTTTTAGCGGGAGATGACCATTTGGCGGGAGTTGGTCGTTTTTCGCTTTATTAGATGTTTCCATATGTTACGCATCTCTACGCTAGCTTGACTAAATGCGTTGTTGGACAACATACGCGGCTTCTTTGAATTTTCTCCTAAACCAGTGTTCCTCTTTGTGCATGATTACAGCTTGAGCCCACTTGATGTTATGTTGATGAGTCCAAACATGCTCTGCTATTCCGGATTTGCTTGTTTCTCCTCGCTGTGTGTGTTTCTTGTGCTCAGCAATGTGAACTTTCAATGGCCCCTTAGTTTCACCGATGTATGATTCTCCGCACTCGAAGGATATCCGATAAATGCAATTCTAGGAATCGCAGTCCGCTTTTGTTGGCCTGGTATTCGTGAGGCTGCTACGGATAGTGTTCCCAGATCTGAAGCAGGTCCTGATGTTATACTTGGACCCAATCATTCTTATCCTTTCCGATAATCCTCTGATGTAGGAAAGTACAAGTACTGGTTGTGGCGGCTTCTCTTCCTTGTGGAGTTCTTGCTGTCTTCTAGCTAAGGCCTGTTCTATCATCACTCTGGAGTAACCATTTCGTTGAAGGTCATTTTTGATGATGCCTAGTTCCTTTTCGAGACCTTCCTTTGTATTACAGAATCCAAAAGCACGGTCTAGTAGAGTCTTGATGATTCATCTCTTAGTCGATTGATGGTGGTTGGATTTCTGGTTCAGATACTGTCCTGTGTGAGTGGGTTTTAGATATACAGATGTTTCCCATTCAGTATCGGTCCTCTTCAGCAATACGTCTGAGAAAGAACTAGAACTAGACACTTTCCTGAAGCACATAAACAACGTCAGTCCTTCCATCACAATGGAATTGCCTTTCTTAGACGTATTGGTGAAGAGGACCGACACTAAATGGAAAACATCTGTATATCGAAAAACCACTCATACAGGACAGTATCTGAACCAGAAATTTAACCACCATCAATTAACTGAGAGAGCAATCATAAAGGAATGTCTCGTAAAGGAACTCGGCATTTTTTGGTTAATGATATTTTTAATTTTTCAATTTTTTCAGCTTTTACTGATATTTCAATTTTTATTTGTTTGGTTTTTGCTTGTATGTTATTTCTTTTCAATTTCAGTTTTTTGTTTGATAAAATTGTTATTTTAGGTTAATCTTTTTAATTTTTTTCGGGGATTTCAAATCAAGTTATATTATATTAGACAATGGAAGCCCGAACTGATGAAAAACTAAACTGCTGCATTCTTCACCTGTCCATTGCTTTCTTGCCCATGTTCTATAAAGGAAAATCAAACAGCAATACAACATATCGATAAAAATAGCCTGCCTATAGTGCCGATAATCGAAATTTATACCTATCACAGATTAACATTTTAAATAAAGTAATAATGTCACCGATGTTTTCACATAGCAAACGTTTTACGTATTCAAAAAACACTTCATTGTGAAATTTTCACTAAATAATTTTACAAAAACGCGTTTTTGTAAAATCATTTAGTGAAAATCTCTCAATAAAGTGTTTTTTGAATACGTTAGTTATGGATTTTCATCGAGTATCGGCCAATTCCATCATGAAACTCAGTTTAGACACAGACAAAACACGGATTTTTTTTATCTTTCCACCTGCCGACGGGACATTGTTGGAAAAAACAGTCTCCCGAGACATGGAAGTTTTCAAAATGTTTCTTAAGCTTGTCGCCTACTTGGCCGGCACAGTACCTACAGCACGGCGCTGTCCGTCGCCTGTTGGCGACATGTAGTAGCATTGCCCACTTGCCCAGCTACAACCAGCATAATGAAGGTGCTGTTTGTTCGATGATTTCAAAGGAAGTTCAGGTAACATCGAGCGGTGACAGAAACATGTCTATCACTAGCAGTTCTGACGAAGAAGTCGTCATTATAATGACTGCATTGTTGAATGTAGAGAAAATAGTCAAAAAAAAAGTTGTGGGTTCAGCCCATCAATCAAAAGAGAGCAAATCTGAGAGAGTTTCATCATATTTTTAATGACCTGAAAGAAGACGAGGAGAAATTTTTCCAGTATTTCCGAATGACTCCAGGCAAATTTTCAGAACTTCTGGATATTCAAGAGTCTACCTTAACAAGCGACTCAATTTTTCCTCGTACATTTTCATAGGTACCGTCTAACACTATGCTGTCAACTGATGGAATAGCAAAACAGAGAGATAGAAACTTCCCAGGCGCGTTTGCACAGGTTGATGCTGGCAAGCGCTGGCCGGCGACGCGTTCACTTGGCCAGTCCGTCACAGCACGTACCGTTATTTGCCGGACAGGATCGGACAGTTGGAATCCTTTCCGGCGGCGGACGCTCTTGGCTGTGCTGTGCCGGGCTAGTGGGCGGTTGTCATTTTCATTGGTCAATCCTATAAGTATTTTGATGGGCCGTGCTGTGCTGTGCTGAACTAGTGGACGACAAGCTTTATTTAGAGAACTCAAGGTTTTGTTTTGCTTTTGCTGCTCTGTTGTGATTTTGTCCGTTTGGTGAAAATCCGCTATTACTGTGGGTGTTTACACGACTTGATGAATCCAGATTTCCCAAACGCTAATACATTCCCAAAAAGTTTAGCGATATGGAACCGGTAAGATAACATCAGATGAATAGTGTTTGTACAGACTTTAACGTTGGTTTTGATAGCATCACTAAAGAAACTAATTAGAAAATTTACCATTCAGTTAGAACAACGAAACGTCAACCTTATGATGGAAAAAGGCCGATTTGTACTTTTTCAATGATAGATGATAAAACTAAGAGTTTAGTTGCAGAAAAGATCAAAATGTTCAGACAATCAATTTTGATGAAAAACCAGCCTGGTCAAGTAATGATATTATTGGTTATTTTTTTTTCTAGATACCTACACAAGGCCAATGAAGACATTGTGGGTAATGGTTATACATTTTACAATTGGGCCCAGATAGATATTTTCGTATATTTCAGTCATCACTTCATTACAATTCCTCCTCTCTGCTGGATCAATGCTGCTCATAAAAATGGAGTAAAGGTTCTTGGTGAGTGTACTATTTTTCAAAACATGTAACTTCGTGGGATTATTCACTCAAAGAGACTGGGAAAGTAAACGATGGTCATTTCATAATTTCGACGATTTTTAATTCATAGATTTTTGTGTAATGAATTGAATATGGAAAATGTTCCCATACATATAGATGTATTAAAAAATTTGTTCTTTCGTCAAACAGCTGTCGTCATGAACACATTGTTTGACGTTCGTTTGCGAAATTTCGTTCTGGAGGTTTTAAACTCGAAGACGAGCCCGAAGTATTCGACCTACAGTAATCCAGGACGGGGATTTGAGGACCTTGCTGGAGACTGACTCATCATAAATGGTGCGAGGTATGGCAGAAAAACTGGGCTTGAGCTCTCATGCGGTTTTTGATGGTTCAAAACGTATTACGTATTAAGTGTTCGGAAGTTGGTCGTAACAGTAATACCCAGATGATGACAAATGAGATTTTGTCGAAACTTCGGTGAAATTAAAGATAATATCACATACACGGATCAAAAACCCGAAAACCAGTTCAGCATAGTCCTATCCGTGAGAACTTTAGATTTAATATTTCAAACCTTTACGGGAAAAAGAGGTTATTCGAGAAGAAGAAGAACTCAGGAAGAACAACATTTAAATAGTAGGTTATGATTGATTGAAGAAAAACCTACTACCAGTGCTAGAAAGATTGCTTTCCAGCTAAATGTTGATCATATGACGGATTTCGAATTTAAAAGGAACAACTCTTATACCCTTACCATCTGCAACGAGTACAGGCACTGTTACCGCGAGACTTTCCGAACCGTCATGAATTTTGCAATTGGATGCTGGAGATGATTAAAAGAAATTGTGACTTTCTGAAGAACAGTTTTCTCTCAATGTGTGGCTCGGAGTTATTGGGAATGATTTAATTGGGCCTCATTTTCTACCTCCCCGATTGAACGGTGAGGCATACGTTCAATTTTTAAGAGAAGTGCATCCAGTACTGCTGGAGGAAGTTCCTTTGGGCGTCAGAAGGGATATGTTTTCAATGCATGATGGGGCTCCCGCCCATTTTAGTTAAGTAGCACGTCAGCATTTAACTGAAACATATACAAATCAGTGGATAGGTCGAGGAGAACCACAGAACTGGCCCGCTCGATCCCCGGATCTCAATCCTCTCGATTTATCTATTTTTCTGCAAACAGAAAACGATATACTCAAAAAAGAATTAGAAGAATACCTCAAAAGAGCCCAAAATAAAAAGAATATTTTGATATTTTGACTCAATAAAAAAAGGAAATTACACCAGAAAATTTGTGTAGAGATCTTAAGGATCTTGTAGGTATAGAATTGAAAGATAACGATTTAGCAGACGTGTACCCCCTAGGAAAATCAGAAAACTGTCCAATAAAAATTGAACTTTCATATCCGAAAAAAAAAGAAATTCTGAAAAATTGCAACAAATTGAAAGGAAAAAGTATATCAATATCCCAAGATCTAACCCATCAACAAAGAAGTGAAGGTGAATTACTCAGAAAACATCTTTTTCTGGTCAAGCAAGAAGGAAAATATAAATACTGCTACATAAAAGGAAACAAACTCTATGTTGACGGGGCCACTTATGATATTGAAGATCTGGAAAAGAAGGGAAGACATCAAACTCAGCAGTGCTCCATCTACTTCTATATTTGACACCACAACAAAAGTTTTTCCTGAATATAAAGAAGATCCAAGAACACCAAAGACCACGATAACTAAAAAACTAGTCCAGAAAATAATACAAGATAAACCCAGAACGTGTTCAGTTAACAAATAACAGGACAGCACTTGCGATTAAGTTCTCACTTGTTGTTACTTTCACCTTTACTAATATTGTACTCGGATATATGAATAAGTGTATGTGAATGTGTATATATTATTAGGTAGAGGTTATTTAGTAGGCTATCTCGTAAAAACGTAGGTTACACATATTTCCAATTCCTATCTTTGCACAACTCTTTCTATCTATAACTTGTTCAGAAATATGGAAGAATCAATAAGGTATTCGAAAAAGCACTGAATTTGAGGAAAACTTCATACATTGATAAATAAAGGCTTATTTCTTGCAAACAATATGGTCTTAGAAAAGGTCTCTCAACTGATGATGCAATTGCTGCACTAACAGGGGAAATAAACGGACACATAGATCAGAGACGGCCGGCATTATGTGTATTTTTAGACTTAGCAAAAGCTTTCGACACTGTTGACCACGATCAGTTGTTGGAGGTATTAAATAAATCAGGAATACGAGGCAAAACACAACTACTTTTCGGAAGTTATTTGAATAGCAGAAGGCAAATAGTGGAAGTAAACAATACTCTCAGTTCTGAAAGAGAAATTACTTTATTTTTTATAATTATGAAAAAACAAAATTTCTACCCTTTGCAAGTTACGAAAATCAACTACCCAACTATAATGAATTAATAATAAATAACCACGGAAAAAAATATAAGTCCTAAGAACAGACCATATTAAATACCCGGGAGTCACAATTGATTCACATCTCAGATGGAATGAACATATTAAAGAAATAACTGGCGTCCTAGTACGCCTCATTTTAAACATTTTAAACTCGGTTAGTAAAAATTATCCAATACGAACCGCCAATTCTACAGTCCACTTGGACTATTTCGCAGCCGGTTCATTTCTATGTATTGGTTTTTTTGGCCTTTGAGAGTGCCGCCAACTTTGAGAGTGCATAATATCGTTTACTTCGACTATACCTACTGAAAATTGCGTCAGCACCAACCGGCACTGGTCAACAGAAGAGGTCCGATACTGTTCCACGACAACACCCATTCGCATGTTTCACAAATCGCCGTCCGATAATTTAACGAATTGAGCGTCGAAGTTATATCTTACCTACTGTACTACCCAGACCTCTCGCAAATCGACTATCATCTTTTCAAGTTCTTCTATAATCCAGTCATTTAAGCCTAAATTAGGTAAGAATCTCGGAATTCGAGATACCCAGCTGTAAGTCTGTAAATACTTGTATATTTCTGGGTATCTCGAATTCCGAGGTGAACTTACTATAATGACTGGACTACTATAATTTTCTCACAGGTAGAACTTTCGCCAATCAGGACCAGTCAAAGCGGCCTTTTTCGACTTCATCGAATCTCGAAAACACAATTTTTATGATGACGAAATCAATCGTCATGTGTTACTGTTTCAAATGGCGCTTATTTTGATTAAATCGAATGAATTATTATGTATGGATGAACATTGAGTAGAAAATTTTACGAAAAATAATGAAAAATTAAATGGGCGGTTATGATTTTGCATTTGAACGTAATTTACAAACATTCATTATATTTTTTATGAACGCTGAATTATACGAAAAACATTCTTTCTATACCGTTTGTATTCCAAACATTCGTAATGGAATTGAATCAGATATCATTCACAGGATTTCTACACAATATACTTAATGAAAGAAGCAAATTTTACTTACATGGAACACTGTCATCCTCACTGGTAGACATCTTGATGTTTCGCCGTAAGACACATGCCTTGTTGGTTCTTCAGTACCAAATATGGATAACATTATAAGAAAGAACACTCAAATCATTCATAAAATAATCTCTCTTAAAGATATACCCTTTCAATCTAAAGGTACTTCATTCTTGACCTGCCCTGTTGGTTATTCAACATTCAAATATGGTTATCAAATATGCGGTATTGGAACTTATGTCATGGATTAAAAAAATCCCTCAACAAATAATCAGATAATCATCAACAATTTTTCCATTTTTCAGGGACCCTTATTACTGAATTCGATACGGGCAATAAAATTTGTGACTTGAACATATTCAAAGATACAGAAACGATGATTAGCTTTGCCAAATCTTTAGCAGCATTGACAAAAATTTTTGGTTTTGATGGTTGGTTATTGAACATAGAAAATAATGTTAAAAATATTGATGTACTGAAGGAATTCGTGCCATACATAACACGTTTAATACATGAAATAAACCCTGAAAGCTTGGTTATTTGGTACGATAGTGTTACAGAAAAAGGCGAATTATTATGGCAAAATGCATTAAATGAACATAACAGGTGAGTTTTTTTTGCTAACGATTTATCTGTGTGCGAGGAAAACTTTCAAAATTTTGCCAAGCAGATGGCTTAAATGTATGATAATTTGACTTGAGGATTTCAAATTATTAAACATGAAAGAGTTTGACTGAAATCAGCTTCTGAGTGCTGAACAGTCACCACATTCTAATCTATATACAGTACGATGCAAATGTATGGAATAAATTCGATATTCACAAAAGGAGCGTCTTTCGGAAGAAATCCAAAAACAGGTCAACTTTAATTTTTGACGGCCCATCTCATGATATTCATATGAAAGACATTTCGTCACCAGTGTTGACGTGATGACGTAATCGACAATTTTTTTTAAATGCAAACAGGGGTCATGTGGCACCCCATTCAAAAGGCTGTGGAGATAAAGTAAGGACTCAGGCAGAAGTTCGTGATTTATTCAATGCGAAATACCCCAACCGAGAACCCGTTTCTCAATCAACAATAAGTAAAATTGAGAAAAAGTTTCGAGAAACGGGCCATGTTAAAGATCTCCCTAAAAGTGGGCAAGAGAAAATCCACATTGGATGGAGGAGCATAGCACACAATATCCACAAAAAGTGAATGTTT